TTATCTTTTTGAAAAACATTACTCAGCTTTATTAATCCTTTCTATTGTATTTCTGGTCTATTATGTATTTCTTCTTTGGTCTTTTTTATTTTAATCCTTCTGTTAACTTTGAGATTATTTTTGTTTTTTTCTAGTTTCTTGAGGATTAAAGTTAGGTTGTTTATTTGAGACCTTTCTAATTTCTTAGTGAGTGTATTTATTACTATAAACTTTTCTCTTAGAACTGTTTTTGCAGCATCTCATTTGAATTAGTATATTCGGCTTCCATTTTAATTACTTTGAGATAATTTTTTATTCCCCTTTTGATTTCTATTTCGACCCATTGGTTGTTCAGAAGTATATTGTTTAGTTTTCACATATGTGTAGATTTTCCAGCTTTCCTCTTGTTGTTGAGTTCTAGTTTCATGCCATGTGGTGAAAAAGATAGTTGGTATGATTTAAATCTTAAATTTGCTAAGATTTGTTTTGTGTCCTATCATATGATCTATCCTGGAGAATATTCCATGTGTACCTGAGAACAATTTGCATTCTGCTTCTGTTAAATGGAATCTTCTATATATGTATTTTAAGTCTGTTGGCTCTAATGTGTTGTTTATTTGCAATGTGGGTTTTTTTGGGCTTTAGTTTTGCATTTTAGCTTGAAAATCTCCTTTTTTGCAAGACAAGTGTAATAGTGGTTAACTTCCCTAATCTATTGTTTGACTGAGAAACTGATAAAGTATTTATATCTCCTTCAATTCTGAAGGATAACTTTGCTGAATATATTATTTTTCCTGGGAATTTTAAATTTTCAGTACTCTGAATATGTCATTTCACTCTTTCCTGTCCTTAGAATTTCTGCTGAGGAATCCACTACTAGCCTAATTGGGGCTCCTTTGTAGGTTACTTTTCCGTCACCTGCCTATAATACTCTTGTTGTTACTGATTTTTGACAGTTTTATTATAATGTTCTTGAAGAAGGTCTTTTTGCATTGAGATAATAGGCTGTTCTATTAGCATTGTGGACTTTTATATGCAATTCCTTCCCCAGATTTGGGAAGTTCTCATCTATTATTTATTTAAGTAAACTTTCTGCCAACTTTTCCTTCTCTTCTCCTGGAACCCCAGTTATCAAATATCTGCCTTTCTCAATGAAAACAATAGCTCTCATAGGTTTTCTTTGCTTTTTTAAAATCTTAGTTCCTTCTCCTAATCAAACTTTGTTATTTCTGTATTTCAAGTCATTCATTCTTTTTTAAATCTGGTCTGCCCAGCTACAGATGCTCTCTTTTTCATTCTTCATCTCACTTATTGAATTGTTCAGGTACAGATTTTTTCTTTGGTCCTTTTTTATAATTTCAGTCTCTTTGGTAAAGAAAGCCTTCCATTCATTAATTATATTCCTGGTTTTGTTGAATTGTTTCTCTGAGTTTTCTGTAGCTTGTTGAATTTTTTTCATACCAGCTATTTTGAATTCTTTGTTAATTAGATTACAATATTTTAGGCCTTTAAATTGGTCCCTGGATAATAATAATTATTTTTGTGATACCATGTTTCTTGATTTTTTAATACTTTCTATGTATGCACTTCTGCTTTCTCATTCTAAGTAGCAGATACCAACTTAACTAAGTTTTAGGGATCTTTTTTTCCCTTACAATTCACCAGGTTGTTTTTTTGGAACCTTTCCTTTGTATTCCAGAAGGTGCTGTTATGGATAAGTTTGAGGTTTCTTCCTTGCCCATTGACTTTGGCCTGTTTTCTGAGCATGCTCCTGTTCTACTGGTGCTTGTTCTTGCAGAAGCACTTGGAAGCACACACAAGGAACCAGCAGCAAAATGGAGTTAGGTGTTGGTTTACCACTTGGGGCTTTGGTGGTGCCTATGGACTCTGTGGATAGATCTCCAGGTGGGTACTCCGAGAGGCTTGTGTTTGGACTTCCTGCTGAAATCTTGAAGCAGACAATAGAAACTGTGCTCCTTTAATTCCCTTTGCTATTCGTACCAGATTCCTTCCCTTTCTCGTCCATCTTCCCTGTCATGGAGGTCCTTCCTCAGAAATGAGGGTGCTGCAGGACAGAAATGGGTTTTTCCAGCCACATCCTCACATTTTGGGTAACAAGGCAGTCATTCACCACTTTTACTTTCTATCATCTTTGTGGATGAGGTCACAGCATTCCACTTCTTCTATTGGAGTGGTCACATCTGCTGCAGTCAAGCCCAACTTCTTTGCAGTGTTGCCTTGGGGAGAGGGATTGCCTCAGTATGCATCCAACCTTGTCTCTATCCTGCATCAGTTGCATACTGGGATTTCACCTCAGCCTGGCTGGACTTCTACAAATTCTGTCTTGCCAGTGGGCATCTTCCCAGGTTTGCACTCTCCAGGTTTTTCCCCCATACCAATGAATTGCAGTGGGGCATCCTCATTGACTCTCTTGGGTCCACAGCCCTTACCAAATTCTTATTTGCTTATTTTGGATGAAAAGGTGGGCTAGAAACCTTCCATGTCCTTTGGTGTCATGTGCAGTGGTGATTTTATTCCATTAAGCAATATCTAATTAGTTGTATTAAAAAGTATGAGAAAATAAAAACAACTTAAGCCACCATGATGCTGCTGTCCTATTTGATATTTCTTAATCTTTTCTGGTTTTAACAAGCACCCTATGAACACCAAAAATTCATGTCACCACAGGGATAAGTAAGAAAAGCAAGGTAAGAGATGTGCATGCAGCCTGGCTGGTGTGGTTCAGCGGTTGAGCGTTGACCTATGATCTGGGAGATCGCAGCTCCATTCCCGGTCAGGGCACATGTCCAAGTTGTGGGCTCGATCCCCAGTAGGGGGCGTGCAGGAGGCAGCCGATCAATGGCTCTCTCATCATTGATGTTTCTCTCTTTCTCTCCCTCTCCCTTCCTCTCTCTGAAATTGATAAAGGCATATTTTTAAAAAGTGCATGTAGGAGGCTGCTATTTGCATCTTCAAACAGTTCAGTCTGCATTTATATATTTAATATGTTCATGACCTTTTTCATTACTTTCTTTTTCTTTTTTTTTTTTCAATTCCAGTTTACATTCAATATTATTTTGTATTAGTTTCAGGTGTACAGCATAGTGGTCAGACAATCATATACTTCACAATGTAGTCCACCCAATATTTCAGGTACCCACCTGGCCCCATACATAGTTATTACAGTATTATTGACTATATTCCCTGTGCTGTACTTTACATCCTTGTTACTATTCTGTAACTACCAAGTTGTTCTTCTTGATCTCTTCACCTTTCTCACCCAGCCCCCCAATCACCCTCCCCTCTGGCAACCATCAGTCATTTCTTCTTATGAATAAAAAATTTCCTAAATACTTTTTAAAATACATATAACAGATTCATTTGTCTATCTCTTTTTGTTATCTCTTTGGATTGTGCTTTTACTCATGCATTTTAAGAGCCTTATACAAACAGAAATTAGAAATTTGGAAAACCTACATTTACCACCATGAACTTAACAGCCTTGCAATAATAATTAAGGACTTTTCTTAGAGATCAGTGGTGATGTGAATGAATTTTTGATACTGTAAAATGAACATAATACGTAATAGATATTGTAGTGAACTAATATTTTTCAAATCATTGGTGAATGATTTGTGTTACAAAATTATGAATTGGAAAATGATTGAATCAGAGTAAGATATATACTGATGGATTTTAGTATGACAGAGTAAGAAAATCATTGATTAAATTTCAGATTTCTTATTGTAAATATCCTATCAGAAACAGGATTTATCCTGATTTGATATAATATGAACAGAGAATATGAAAAATTATGTTAAGATTTTAAAAATACTTCTGCTTTTTCAAATCAATATCTGTATGAGATTGCTTATCTTTATATATTTCAAAAAAAATTACGTATTGCAAAACGTAGAATGCAGAAGCAGATATGAGAATTAAGGTTTTTTCTTTTAAACAAAACACTGTATAGATTTGCAAAAATGTAAAAGTATGACCTGTTCACTAACTATAATTTTGTGTTAGAAAATATAGTTTTTATAAAAGATGTTTGTGCTAAGGTATAATGGGTTTACTTTCATTTTTAAACAAATTAACACATAAATATTTTAATATCTTTTCACTTTTAATATTGATATGTTTAACTTGTGTAAACAAAAATTCTTTAGGGTCCTCTATAATTCTGAAGAGTATAAAAGGATCCTGAAGCCAAAAGTTTAGAGTCACTGTTTTAGTGATCAATAACAGTCTGGGGCGCTAGATTTCAGGTATTCTGTCACTTAGTAACTATGTACTATTAGGCAAGCTACTTAATGCCTGCCTCAGTTGTCTCATCTGTAAAATGGGTATAGCCAAAATACCTACTTCATAAGGTTGTTATGAGAATTAAATGAGTTAATGTTGTAAAGCTCCTAGAAGAGTATCTGTCACACAGTAAACACTTAAATTTTTTATATTAAAAAAGAGGGCTTATAGGAAAACACCCATAGTTACCATCATACTTATTGGTGAAAACTGAAAACTTTCCTCTGAAGATCAGAACAAGAAAAATACATCTGCTCTTGCTGCTTCTAGTAAATATTGTACTAGAAGTTCTACCCTCCAGGTTTAAGAGAGATTAAACAGGATGGCGAAATATACCATTCAGGGATCATGTCTTTTTTAATTAAATGTATTGAGGTGACATTGGTTAATAAGTTTATATAGGCTTCAAGTGTACATTTTTATGATACATGATGTGTATTGTATTGTATATTGTATTGTGTGCCCACAACCCAAAGTCAAATCATCTTCCATCACCTTTAATTTTACTTTTTACTCCCTACTCCCCCGACTCCCTTCCCTCTTGTAACCCTCTCATACTGTGGTGTATGAGTTTTACTTTTATGACATGGATGGGCCTTGAGAATATCATGCTGAGTGAAATATGTCCATCAGAAAAAGCTAAGAACCATATGATTCACTCATATGAGGTATCATGTCTTATCTTGGACAGCTAACCCAGGTGTCTAACCTTTCAGGTGTGGTCTCCAACGAGGGTCAGTTTCCTGTGGCCAAGGGAGCCCAGGAGCTGTTTCAGTGCACTGGTCCAATGTGCCGCTATGCTGAAGACCTGGCCCCCATGCTGAGAGTCATGGCAGGACCTGGGATCAAAAAGTATGTCCACTTCTTTTCTTTATTTTCTCTCCCTTTGTTTATTAGAGACAAAGGTAAACTTTCAGTCCTCAACCAAAGACTGAAAGGGTGGTGGTGGGTTTTTGTTTGTTTGTTTGTTTGTTTTTTGAGAGAGAGAACTTTTGTATATGTAGATGTCTTGCTTCACAAACTGGGAAGATAGTTTGTAAAAATAATTTACTGTGTAAAAATATTATGCAAAAATAGGCCTATTTGGGATGAAAGCAGTGGGTTATTGTTGTTCATTTGGCAATTTGAATATATAAACTTATCTCACTTTAAGCCTTTCTGGTGCTTCTGTCATTTGTCACCACACATGTTTTCCAAACTTACTGGGACATTGATACAGCCTAAAAAACTCTCTGTTTCCCTTCATAGATCTTTATTATGTTTTCAACAGCAGCAATTTTGAATTATTTTCATTTGCAGCAAAACTATGATATTCTCATCTAGTTTTTGCATTCAATAAATGATCCCACATTCTACTTCACCAAGAAAATGCAATCTGTGGAACTTTCTTCAGTTCCTTATATCAAACTTTCTAGTTCCCCAGCGATTAATTTCTCATTTCTCCTTTTAGAATGAAGCAAATGTCTTTCTTTTTGCTTTGGTATATAAGTGCTTTGACCTGTTCTGTGGATCTCATATTCTGGTACTCTCTCAGATCTTTGTTCCATTACTTGTTAAACATGCCTAAACTACATCCTGGTTTCCACCTCTCCACCACTAAAATTTTTTTGGTCAAGGTTTCTGATCTTGTAACTGGTGACCTTATTGACTATTCCTTCCTTCTTGAAACAATCCCTACCTTTGGATTTTGCAATTTGCATTCTCCTGATATAGCTCCTACATCTATGCCTTTTCCTTTTTATCTCTCTTGGTGGCTCATCCTTAAAATATTGGTACTCTAGAGAGTCTTGGCTCACTTCATTCTTCTCTCTTTCCCCAACTTCCCAGGATCACCCCCCTTACACCTACTACTTCAGTTACCTCCAGTACATAGAGAAGTCACAAATATATGTCTCCAGTTGCTTCTTTTCACCTTAGCTACAGGAGTGTGTATAAACCGACATACTGGGCATCCCAATGACCTGAAACTCAATGTGTCTAAAACTGATTTCATTCTTCTTCCAAACCCCACAAAACGGATTTGCTACTTTTATTCTTCCTCAAGTCCAGTGACTGCACCATAATCAACCCAGTCACTAAAGCCCGATTCCCCACCTCTATCACTCCGAATGTGGAAACAATCTCCAGTAAAGATGACCTCATAATTATTTCCTACATCATTACATTTCTATCACCATGGTTATAATCACCTGGACTACTACCAGAGCCTTCTGGCTTTTTACTCCATCTTCAATCTTGACCATTCTAAGCTGTTCTCTCTCATGTAAGCAGAGTAATATTCTTAAGTGGAAATCTGAATTCTAAAGGTTTATCGCTATTTCTGGCACAAAATTCTGAGGGGGGCGGGGAGGACGGACGCCACTAAAGCAAAATCTCAATTGTTAGAATTAAACTAGTGAGTATATATAAGTAATTTGTTCATATCAGTTTTTTTTATTCCTCCACAGGTTAAAACTAGATGAAAAAGTGCAATTAAAGGATTTGAAATTTTACTGGATGGAACATGATGGTGGCTCATTTTTAATGTCCAAAGTGGACCAAGATCTCATTCTGGCTCAGAAAAAGGTAATTATAAATAGAACCTCTTTCATGGAATTCGTGTTTAGGTCAGTAGATACCATTCTCACCCTATTCCTTTACTGTCTGCCGGATATTTCTGTGTTAGAATACAGAATTAAGATGATTACAATAGTTGTACTAAGTAATTTTTGGTTATACTTATTTTTTTATATTTTATTTTTTAATAATAAAAAGGAAGATTTTAAAAATAAAGTATAATACAGCAAAAAAAGAAATTGCTCAGAGGTAACTGCTATTACTATTTTGTCATATCTGTCCAATTATTCTTATATGCTTATGTGTAGAAGTAAATTTTATATAATTGAGATCACATTGCACATGCAACAGTTCTAATCTGCTTTTTATTTTTTAAATACTTCTATAATCAAATGAAATAATGAAACAAATTTGTCTTTTTAAAAGCAAAAGCTTGTTCAAAGAATAATAATAAGAGGAAGAACCATGTCAAGTTTTAAAGACACTTTTTTAAAAACTGCAGTAAATCAACATGTGACACCATTAAAAATAGTACAGATCATTATTTGGAAAATAGGTAGTTTTGTATCTCTAACATCAAGAAAATTCATGTAAAAACTCTCACAGTAAGGTCAACAAGTGTCCTAATTAAAGTCATGTAATCCCTAAATCAGAATCATTCCAATATATCAGAAACAATTAATAAAAATGATTATACAGTACTTATGAATTAGTTAAAACATATATGTGAAACCTAAATGAAGACAATTATAAACTTAAGTGCTATAAAAGATTGCTTTAATATATGAAGACAGACACGGCAGCCCATTTTCTCCTGGCCTGAAAAGTTTCAGTTGAGAAATCCACTGATTGCCTCATATCTAACTTCTCTCTTTGCTTTCGCTAATCTTAAAATTCTTTCCTTCTCTTTAACTTTTGACAATTTAATTATAATGCATCTTGGTGTAACCCTATTTGTGTTCAACCTATTTGGGATCTTCTGGGCTTTGTGAGTATGGATTCATTTCTTTCTCCATGATTAAGAATTTTACTGCCATTATTGCTTTAAATATACTTTCTGTCCCTTTTTATTTCTCTTCTCCTTCTAGAAGTCCCATAATGTGAAATTTGGTTATTTTCATTGTGCCCCATAAACCCGTAGGCTTTTTTCACTTT